CTGCTTAAGGACGAAAGTAAAACAAACAGAAACTAGCCGGTGGCGTACACGTCACATCCGCCGTGGCTTTGACGGGCATTTATTTGACAGACGTGGCACCGAGGCCCCCCGAGGACGGCGTCGCACGCCAGCAAGCACGGCACCGTTGGCGGGGCCGACAGCAAAGCCTCCCGCACTCCGGATACGGCGAGCTAGCCAATATTGGCAAATGGGGTAAAAAAAAACGTAATCCGCAAAAAAAACACGAGAATCCAAGAGACGCACATTCCATCTGGGTGGCGGAGGGCTTGCCGGTAACCCAACAGGCACTGTGAGCAGCAACCAATGGTCCCAGAGCAGTCTCCATCAGCTCTCCCCCCCATATGATGTGCCTGACACGTTGATTTACAAAAGCCCTCTCAACAGGCCAACTTGGGAGGATCACCAAATGTCTTCATAGTTTAAACGGTTATTGGCTTTACCTTGGAGCACATTGGGAGCACGCTGGCAAGAGCAACAGCAAACAAATGGCAAAAAACAGAGTGGATATAAATGCAGTGAGCCTGTGAGAAAGGGGAGATTTAAATTATTATTCTTTTGTCATCACGTAGGGGCGGCCGGGGCTAGTGGAAGAGAGGCAAGGCCGCACCGTACGAAACAGCAGCTGAGGTCGCCACCCATCCCGGTTTTCCCATGAAATCCTCTCTTTTGAACGTAGCTCTACCGAGATTTCTGCAAGTCTTTCCAGGACAACACAAGTCCTGGCTTTTGTCAAGTTTTGCAACAATCCACCGCTCGGGACAATTCCTCTGTAGCTCTCCCCTCTTTTGCTCTTACGAGATATGATTCGTCCTATCACTTCCTGTTTTTGTTTTGTACCCCAGGAGGTGGCAACCCGTCACTGGAGCGCTGCTTTCTGCGTCGCCGTCTAGGAGTTGACTCCGTTTACTCGCAGCCCTCTTCCCCCCGTGGAGCGCGGACATCCCGGGGAAACGACGGTCACCAAAATCTCATAAAACACGGGCGAGCGCTGTGGCTATAATTTCCGTAGCACAGAGACCTCACTGACTGCGTGTATACACAGAGCAGAAGCCCAGTCACAGCATACATGGATACAGCAAATCTCCCATCAGCTCATAATGCAGAAAGGACCCCCTGATAATCATCCATGTGCGTGATTCGTGGGGAGCCAGGTAGGAGACACGGTGGTTTGGATTAGCGTCAGCGAAGCCTTCCCGTCGTGGAGCGCCACCTCACAGTCGCTCGTTCCGCAGTGGAACAGCAACACATTTAACATTAAACATGTAATACACCAAAGATAGGCAAATGGTCAAAAGTCTCGGAGGCAGAATCGCCGTTTGTCTTTTTCACATTTTTCATTGGGCAATGTTGCTGTTGCCGTATTTGCTTTTCTGGTATTCAACGCTGCCAAACGCCCTGAGGCCAACGGCGATTGTCAGGATCGGCGTCGACCGCGGCGCCATCACTCCCTTCATCGCTCGGGGGCCCTGCACAGCATTATAACGCCTACGCGTCAATACCTTTCGATAAAATAAAAACTCGCGCACTAATATCCACTCCTCGTGCGCCACCACCACCAGCACAGACAAACCAACTCAAAACCGTGAGCCACCGTCTCTCCCACACTTTCTGGCCAATGAGTTGATGCCATTAAATTATTTTTGCCTTAACAGATTGCTCAGGGTGGAAAAGGTAATGTTCATGTCTCGCCTTGGCCTGTGGGTCCCTGGGCCCCTGGGCTCGGACTCAAGAGCCTAAAGGTGCTGGATCCGTGGCCTCGCGTGCTACAATAAACGCTCCCACATCCCACCGCCGAGATTAATTTTTCAAAAGCTCGCAAATAAATGCATTAATAATGCAGAGTGGCCAGAGCTGGACACAGGTTTGAACATATATAGGTCATATTGTCGTTAAGGAGAACACCGTCGTGACATTTGTATTATTAAAAAAAGTCATTAGCAGAGGATTGGAAAGGGCCTTAAACCCAGTGGATTGATCGTAGGTGATGATGATGATGACGACGATTCACCAAATGCGAATTTGGACAAATTTCACCATTTCCCTGCAGGTTCTCAGCCTTCGCCTCAACGCGGCGGTGACATATGCCGAGACGCCATTTTATTTTTTATAAAGGAACAATAATTGTTGGAAATTTTGAAGAAAAAAATTCAACAATGAGCATATTACGCACACAACCCCCCCCCCCCCCCCCCCCACAATAATGAACGTTTGCTCGTTAGCGTTAAACAACGTGAGCGCTGTGCTGAGAACCGTAATCACGCATTTAATTTCACGAGTGACATCACCCTCGGCAGTCCCAGAAACAAATCTCAGGTCTGGGCGTCGACACGCAGCAGCCTGCAGCTTTTAATTACATTCCTCGTCCACCTCGGCAGCCTCCGCGGTGCGCGGCGCTAACAGCCGCGGGGAAATGAAAGCGCGAGTGGCGGCGACGCCATTCCGCCCGTCGCAGGAAGAGATGACGGCGGGCATTACGGCAGGTGTGACGTTGATGAAAGGTTACGTTTACAAAAGAAATACCAGATGCCGGGCGACTGTTTACTCCCGTGCGTAGACGCATCGTGCCATTTTACGCCGAGGGTACCACCGTAAATCATCGGCGGGCGTTAAAACTCCAAAGCGATTTAATCATTTAAATGTACTGTCAGTTTCTCCTTGAAGGTTCTTGGCCATAGATCACGGACCAACCGCGGCTGCACGCGCGCGAGCACGCCGCTCAGAATTCTGATCAACCTGCGACATGCATTAAGATTCCAGGCACATGCTCACTAACAAAAAAAAAATCGCATAGCCTACGACCGACGCAGGATCGGCTGGAAGCAAAGAGCGGAGTGGAGCGAGCGGAGCCGGGTGTGCGACGAGCGCCTCATCTCCATATGGGCTCTCATCGTGCCGCAGAAAAGGCAAAACGTGCAGAACAAAGGGCGATAATTAACCTTGGAAATTACCGCCTTCGAAGATGCACGTCCGTAAATTGATTTACTTTTGAGAAATGTCGGCGTGGCTGTTTATTTATTCTCACCGTGCTTGTTTAAAAAAAAAAAACACGGAGCGCTGCGTTTACAGCTCATGTCAAATTCCCCCCAACAAAGGGCGATGCGTGTGGCCGTTCGCAGCGAAGAACTGTCGGCTTCAATTAAAGGGGGCCTCGTTCAAATGTGTCCAAGATGAAAAGTTGAACCCCCATAACAAACGGGCTCCCCACAAAGCTGACGGAGAGGAGACTAAAGCGTGCCTGCGCTTTCGCTGCAACTTCTTTGTTCAGTGCGAGCTAGCGGTGGGCATGGAAGGGTGCCGTGAGTTCAAAGATAATGAGTGTTGCATCGCTGTGGGGAAGGGGCTGGGTGAGAGGCTGGGGGTCGGGGGGATGGGGGGGGGAGTTTAGGGTGGTGCTAGCTGCAGCTGTAGTCACACCATGCCAGGGAGCTCGCTCCGCACGATGATCGCCGGACCAATTGCGAACGGAACAGTCAACACTCTCGGAGGCGGGCACTGCCTGCAGAACGTGCGACGGCGGGGGAGGCATTGAGAAGCTGCGAGTCAGCGGGAAGCGATTTTAATTAATAGGTGCAACTAAACAGCGGGCGGCTTCTTGCGAAAAGCGTTCGCGTTGTCCAGATGGATCGCCCGTACCGCTTTTCCGAGAGACCAGGCAGCATGGATTCGCGGGCTTAAGCAGAAAAAGGAGTCTGGCATTTGAACCTGCGGTCAGCCACGCCGCAGGAGAGGCTCCTGCCGTCGAGCCCACGAGAGGGCCGCTTTCATTTAACAACACAAGGAGGGGGTGCGATGTAACGGCAACCCTCCCTTGCAGAGTTTGCGTTTGTACCGCAGAGACGCACGCCTGCAACAATTAGCGACGGAGGCCGCGTACACAAAGTTGCTTGCAAATGACAGGTGCGATCGTGAGTCTGTAATTTTCCATTAAAAAGAGCTCCAAACAGGGCACCCAAGTCACCTGTGGAATGGCATTGAACGGAACATTAACCCTTGCCACAGCCCACATCTGCAGAAAGCTGCCTTCCTGCTGGATATCCAACATGGAGATGCAGAGCATGAAGAAAGTGTCTTACGTCATTATTTTTCTGTAATGAGAAAGAATGTCAGCTAGCCCGCGAGCCCGTCTGAGACAAAGTCATTCATCCGACTTCGTTTTGAGCAAGCCCTGCAATAACGCCGGTGTGTTTAAAACGTGATCGCTCGCCTGACGCAAGCAGGATTCAATCCCATGGCTTGCAGCCTTGGAAACAAAGCACACGTTCAATCGCACACTCACACACGCGCCATGTACCCACACACATGGGGTACATGGCAAAGATCCCGTGTAGCCTTAACAGACGTTAGAGGCAAGTGCTGTTAGCGAGCACCTATGAAGGCTGGCATGGCACACGAGGGGGTGGGTGGCCTCGTACACATCGCATCAGGTACTCATTTGAGGCTGAGTCGACCTCGGGGAGGCCCGGGACCAGTTCAGATAAATCATCACTGGGGTTAGCTGTGAGCGGGAATCAAACTTGGGTACCGATGGGTTTGTAGCACAGTGCTCTAACTGCGAGGCTATCGCTCCCAACACTACGGAAAACATGCCCAAAGACACACAAATCACACACACTACACACATACACACCACATACCCACACACACACACCAAGTAACCACACACACACAACGTGCCCATATGCACACCAACAACATTGCTGCCAGTTCAGTCAACAGGACCACAGTGACCGGACCAATGAGCCGAAGGCGAGACGCACGGTAGAACAATCACATCACGGCAGCGCGCGGACAACTGAAGCGTTCATGACCGTGGACCGCTTGACAGAGGCCACGGCGAGCGACTGAATCATCGTGAAGGGGACCCGCTCGCCAAGATAGCCCGCTGGTCCTCCCACCCCACCCGCCACAAACAGCAATCGAACCGCGAGTGAAACAAACCCCCCTCCCCTCCTCCGGGATCGGCGTGCGGCAAGCGGCACCTGCTTCATGCGGTCGGGGCTCACGGCCGTCTGCGGCTGCAGCAGGGTGACGGGCTCCGGCTTGCTGGCGGCGGCGGGCATCTCGCGGATCTTCTCGGCGATGAAGTTGTGGACGCCGTTGAGCGACTCGGCCGTGCCCTGGATCAGCGCGACCCTCTCCGTCGTGCCTGTGGGGCGAGAGAGGCGGGCGGTGGGCAATGCCGCGTTACAGATCGCTGTCGGCTCACGCGGGGGGGGCACACTTTTTCCCGACAATAATTTTTTGCTGCTCTTGCTCGTCCCCCCCCCCCACGCCCTCTGCCCCCCCCCCCAAAAAAATAGAAACAATTAACAGGAATTCGGCATGTTTATTATTTCTGGAGTGGCCACATCAAACTGGTTCACAACATCCTCAAAGTGGCCAGGTTTACAAAGGGGAAACATCTGCGGTGTGTCGTTGTGATGTAAACACTTCCGCCGGAGCCATTTCCTCGTACGAAGGTGACGAGTGAGGAGGGCCTTTGCCGGGGTGGGGCTCACAATTGAGCGTAACGCTCGACCATCGCCGGTTCTCAAACTAAACTATTTTTTTTTACCAGGTAAGGCCCACTGAGCTGTATTACTCTTTTTCAGAGGCGACCTGGCCACAAATGATAGCTCAACGAAGTGGCTTGTGGTGTGAAAATTTATAGCAGCCAAATACTCTGAACGAGAGCTGCTTCTAAACGTGGATGGAAAAACTGGAGGACCCGAAGAAAAGTCCACCACGCAACCACAAGGAGAGAGAACATGCAAACGCCAAATATACAGGCGTCACGCTCCAGATCGAACCCACGACTTCCTGCATACCAGGTGAGGGAGATGACATCTCTCCACCACCGCTGCTGCTCGTTTGTGTTGAGTCAACGTGATTGAACGACGTGAGCTAATGGAAGCTTCATCGCCTTCCCCCCAGTGGATGCTGCTCTAATCCTGGTGGCTGCGTTAACTGTTACCAATCTGCCGGACTAAGCTATAAATCAGCGCGAGATTAATGACCCATAAGAGGCATACGCGATGTAAACATTTGCTTTCCCTCTTCGCCTTGCACGGCCCACAAGGCCTAACAGTTCCACTGGGAGCCCTGGGGATTTTACTCCACCGATGCAACCCCGTTCGCGTGAGCCCGACGCCGTTGAGCCACGCAGCAAGGGACGCTGCCTGCAGGAGAAAGGCACAGCCGACTCGCCACGTCCTGAGAGGAAAATACAGGAACGCCGCATAATTGACTGCAGATGCAATAACACAATGAACAAAATGGCCTGCCTGCAATTAAATTACATAACCAGGAAGAGCGATGGGTCTTTAACAAGAGCACGCCTGATAGAATAATGTACAATCCAGTAAACGACTCTTGCAATTGCTGGACTATTAATCGTAACCGTCTGAAATTGCTGCGAAATAAAACAAAAGAGAGAGAGAGACGTGACGTGACGACAGAGTGACAGAGCGGGGCGCTTTTTTCGCGTCCCGATCCCGTCCACCTGGGGGCTTGTGCGACCTACCGCCGTCGGCGCGAGGGACGGCGATCGCCGTGACCTTGAGCCGCCACGCCGGGCCCGCATCGCCACGCCGCTTTCGCAGGCGCTGCCAAGACTGACCATTACACGAGGAGCACACAGCCACCGCTGTTGGTGCCGGGGGGGGTGGGGGGTGCAGTAAAGTCTGGGGGCGGCCACTAATTGCACCCTAATTGCCTGTAAATGCCTGAATTTGGCTCAAATTACACAACTCCTCAGGCAGGTCAGCAGGAAGTCCGTGCAGCGCTTCAACGGACGCCCGTGCCATTGTGCGTGCGTAGCGTGACCCCACACCCCCACGCGCACGTGCACGTTCACGCTCCGGGCGTCCATATGCGCGCCGTGAGAGAGTACGCGCGTGAGTGCGCGCGCATGCGGGAGGGGGCGAGCGGGGTTGGGAGCGGTGGCGGGGGGGGGGGTGGTGGCACACGCGCTGCATCCATCTGGCTCGTGAGCAGCAGCCCTTGTCCATGGGACCCGAGACTGGGAAACACACCTCGACAATAAAGCTCGCGCGGAGACTCACATGTGACCTCCTTTTCGTGGAGGAACGCTCCAAAATCGCCGAGCACCAAGTCCGAAATGAGTTTCCTCGAGCAAACAAGCTGATATTGTTTTCCCCGTTCTCATTTCAAATCGTCGAATGATTTATGAGCCGACTGGCAACGCAGCAAAACACAATTAAGTTCCTGGGTCGGAATTTCCCGAGAAAAGGCAAAATTCTCTCAAACGCCTCTGCATATCTCATACAGCCACGTTTACGCGGTTTGAATTATCCTGGAAACGTTTCGCTTCATCTGGAACCGTCTGCCGAGAGCCCTCGGTTTCGTTTCTGCGCGCGCACGGCCGAGGGTCACCGTCTCCCCCGAAGACCGTCGCCATTCACCGCCCCAAGGACACGGAGACCACGGGTGAAATCGATCACACGCGAGCACTGTACCTCGCCGGCCGAGACGGAAACAACGGAAGCTCGCAGACACAGCGCCTTGAGAAACAACAACCAATTAGAACGACGAAAAAGCGGGGAAATGCGCTGCGCGCCATTTGTTATGTAAACCAAAACCGGCGTCGACAGATGCACGGCTCTTTCCCCCTCAGTCAACTCTCTCTCTCTTCATCGCAGCAACGAGAAGAAAGGGTCTTAAACAGAGCGGCCGGCGGCTTGGGATTACGAGCAGAATAGGACCGCTGAGTCCACAAGGCTGTGACCAACGACCGCTCTGTTCTTCCCCGACTGGCGGAATTGCAAAGACCCCACCGGATAGTTTACTGCGGAGCCGTGATTGGCGGCTGCGGAGATGGCGGCGATGCTAACCCTGGACCAAACTCGCCAACGTTGGCCTTACAGACCTACATCATTATTATTATTATAGTTCTCGTTATGTTGATTGCCGATGGAGATGGCTTGAAGAGGGGGTGGGAAACCCCTTCCTGCAGAAAATGTAATTGGGTCAACTTTGGGAGAAAAAACAATGCATCGAGCACGAAAAATAATGAAAGTAAAACACATTGTAAACTGCCAGATTAATTTGTTTAAAATGAAAAACATTAACATGAGGTAATAATTACCTTTCAAAAAAAAGCCGAATATCTTAACTTTTCTTCACGAATACATTTTTCGAAAAACATTTTAATACGCGACGATGGCAGTTCATTTAGAAAGTTATTATATAATAAACCCTTTTCCCATCACGATTTTAAACGGCTGAACCCAAGAAAACAATTGAGAGTGCGACAAGGGGGTGGGAAACGAGGCTTGGCTGATTGTGGAAAAATGGAACGTTTGCCAACGAACCCTAAAACAAAATGGAAGAAATCCCAAGGTTTTATTCAGGGAGACGCTGGCTTCGTTAAGCACAAACTTAATGAGCCTCCAATTGGGACCGTGAAAAATATATATGTGAGAGGGACTCGGTTAAATATAAGTTCGCAATGGAAACAAGCACAATATTAATTAACTGTTAGCGGTTAAGTATAGCCGCACGTACCAGCTGGAAGCATCTGCCCAAACACTCAATGCATTCACTGGAATAACCGTGTGGCAACGTTACAATTACGGTGATCAACGACACTAATGGATTTTGAGGGTTTATCTCTTCCTGCCGAAACAGACTTGTGCCTCACAGTGTCTCCGAAAATCAGGCTAACAACCAAACAGGCCCTGCGGAGTGGCTTTTCAAAGGATTAAGAAACAAAACGAGAGGGTCCAAGCGATGTCTCACAGGAAGAAAAGCGTGTGTGTATGTATGCGTACGCGCGAGAGTGTGACGATGGGGAGAAGTGGCGTCGTGGTTGACGCACTACGCCGCGAAGCCAGCAGACTCCAGTTCCATTCCAGCTCATGGCCAACAACAGCGGCGAATATTTGAACTGGTCCTGGGCCTCGCCTAGGTCGATTCAGCCTTAAATAAGTACCTGATGCTGTGTGTTAACATCAGCACTGGGGAGACGGATACAGCCAGGCATGGTGCTGGCCACACCACCACCACCACCTTGTGTGTTGTGCCGGGATTTCATCAGGGCAAGTCGTTTACAGCACTTGCCCCAATCATCTGCGAAATGTTCTCCAGGGGACCTTCGTCTTTGTGTGTGACAATCAGCCCTGATGCTGAGATGCGGCAAACTTGGGCCACACAGAAAGTCCCCCCCACCCACCCTACTCGTCCACACACACACGGCGATCGTCTCCGACTGCAATTCCCATGCAGCTCACCTCCCACGCACATGGAGGAAGATGCTTCAATAGCCTTAAAAGATGTCAACTGCAATCAATTTCAAAATCTGACGCACCGAATGGAGCTGCTTTCTTCGCGATGTGCTTGAAATTACTTGGGCACTCGCACCGAATGCAAGCCGAGGCATTCATGGCAGTGCAAATGAACGGCACGTATGGTCCTAGAATTAGACGCAGTAAGCACTCGTCTGCGCTTTTGCCCAGGCTTGGCTGAATAGACACAAGAATGATGTCACCTGGTGCAGAGGGCCCAGGCAGGGCTTTCATTTTTCTCACGCGAAAGGATTTTTCGGCGCGTCACAAAGCGTCGATCTCGATCGATTCTACACCGAAGATCGAACGGTTTGGCGAGCAAATTTATATTTGACGGCTCGGGTTCGGCTAACGGGGCAGACCCAGCGGCTGCAAGACGATGCGGACACGTGGATTCTGACGCGCGTTCCGTCGTGCGTCCGTCCTGGCTGACGCGTTAGGCATGGCGCATGAAGTCATCACCGTGGCCAAAAAGGTTTAACCAGTTCACGCTTCGTCTTTAATTTTTAATCGCCAAGATTTTGGCCGCACGTTTGATCAATTTGGCTCATTTCCTGGAAGGGTTAAATCCCGGATAGCTACACACCTGTATGCAAAAATGCGAGTAAATCTTGACTTAAAGCTTTCGCGACTGCAGGAATTCATACTCTCTGAGTTTTTCGGTAAAGTCACTTAGGTAGAAAAAAATAATAGATCACGACGTTTGGATCGCAACAACAAGCGACCATCTTTAGGTGAAAAAGATAAATATTTTTCTATCTACATGACTTTACCGAAAGAAGCAAAGAGTATGGATTCCTGCAGTCATGAAAGCTTCAAATCTAGATTGACTCTTTGGGTCTTTCGGTAAAGTCACGGAGAT